CACTTTGAAAAGAGGCAACGGGCATGTGGAAGCGTGAGTAGAGCCGCATGCCACCAAACAATCAGCCTTTTCACTGTGTAATTCAAAGCATGCAGAGAACGCAGGGCCACAAACCGAGAATTTGTGGTTTGGCAGGTGGCCTTTGTGGCCAAGCGAGGCTGGAATTCTCGGAGTCAGCTTTCAGAAAAAAGTTCCTGTCATCAAGGGGTTAAAGAGCACCTCTAAGGAAAGCATGTTTTCTCTGAGTTTATCTATTCAAATAAATATGGAAGCATCCACCTCGAACGCAGTGTCATTTGTCTTCAGAGCTCAACTATAACAAGCTTAAAAGGGCTTTTTTTTCTGTTCATGCCCACATGCGAATTCTGAATGTAGATTGCGTCATTCAGAGAAAACGGAGGAAACGAGGGCAACCCTCGCCCTGTGATCGAAGGGGATAAACCCTTGTGCAGGCTTGACTAGTTTTCATTCCTAATTTAGTATACATGTACTCACTGTTTGTTCAATAACGATGGGCACCATGGGTGAATTCGCTCTGACCGCAGAGTGGAAGCACCGTTGCACCTGTTGGCCATGTGGCACAACACTGGCTGTCAATACCTTCTGCAAATATTTAAAAAAAAATAAATATGATCCCAAATAACACAAGGAAGTCCAACTATATCACAAGAGCCTGCCAGGTCAAAGGATTATGAATAAAATGCACTGCACGTCCAGAATGCAACAAATTAAGATCATCTAGGGTACTGTTACACCCCAACTATAACATCAGTCCCAACTACAGTTGGGCCCGTCCCAACTAGAGTGCTATAGTTGGGCCGGCCCAACTACATGTACATGTGCAGCACAGATGTCCAGTGTGCACGTGTCCGGCATGTGCTAAAGTCAGACTGTTTACAGTGTCATTTCGTAGATAAAGAGCCATATTTTAGATGAATCCTGTCAAGAGTGAGATGCATAAACTTGGATAAGGTTGACAAATTTTCTGGGTCGATAGGAATTAGTCAGCAAAAGTTGAGCCAGCCCACCTGCAGCACTACAGTTGGGACTGTCCCAGCTTTAGTTTGGAGAGACGCTATAGTTAGGGCGTAACATTGCTGATGGATGTAGCAACAACAGTGGTTGTGGGCAAAAAACCATAGGATGAATTTTCAACGCACGAATGAAAAGAATCTCGGACATTACATGTACTACAGGCCTAGGCCTACTTTGTCTTAGTACAGGCCTATGTCTGGACTACTTCCTGGACAGTAAGGCACTACTCCATAGGCCTTACTGAGTTTTTGTTTATGGTTCCGTACGCTATGGCATTTTGAAAAGTGCCCTGCAATCACACCAGAGAAAATCTCCATTGTGCTCTCTGAAGCAAATCTTCCACTATAAAGCAGCATAAACATTTCATATGCAAATACGCTGTTCCTGTTTTTGCCACGTGACGTACGGCCATAGAAAATGTAGATGTGCGCGGATCGTTGAGGGATGAGAGGTGAGAACGATAGAAAAAATTTTTTTCCAATAATGTACTGTAGGTTAAACGCTACAAAATGCACCCGTGCCTGGTAGTTCCACATAGGTTTGCTAGTATTGAAGGGTAAAGTTTACTGTTCAGAAAGTATTTCGGGACTAATTTTACAACTTTGGCCAAGCACAACTCAATTTTCATGTACAACTCATGTACCACTGATGTTAAATTGAATGACTGAACTGATGGGACGTGACCCCACAGTTCTCATGGTTGCATGTACTTCTGGGGGTAGGGGTAGCCCAGGTGGACTCCTTGACCGTACCAGCCCAACCTGGGCTAGGGGTAGGGGTAGCTTTAGCCCCACACGTAAGGCTGTAGTGGCTCTGTTTTAGTTTTACAATCTGTCTCTGATCTGTCGCCACCACAGCCCTACTTCAAGGCATGACTTTAACATGTTTAATGCCTGACATCCAAACTGCAGGATTGTCACAAACTTTGAATCCTAAATATCTTCTGAAATGAGAATGACTCGACAAGTTTACTTACAACGGCGTATTCCTCAGAGTTTGGGCTTTCATATGAGCACCCTAAAGCTTTCCAAAACAGTATATTTTCTGATGTATGGAACCTTGAAAACCAGGCCTGTGATATCTATTTGCTGACAATGGGCAGCACCATTTTATAAAATGAAAGAAGCGCTTCTTGCATTGGATTTCAAGACACCCGACAGGCAATTTGGTATAGATAGGTTGTACCACAAAAAACTGATTCCCCATCACACATGAACAGATGAACAAGGAACTGGTGAAATATGCATGTCATTGTATCACGCTCCACACACGTGCTGTGAGCGGACTGTACACTCGCACGGTGCGTGCGCAACTTATTACTAAGCAATACTGTGACTGCATGGAAAGCGTGGACTCAAGTTTCACAGAATTTCCTGTAAAATACATTGTTGTATTTAGTAATTTCAACACAACATTTATAGAATGAAGGATACAAGGCACTTGTGAACGACATTTTGAGCTGTCTTTGTCAGGTAAAAATGCGAGAAAACATATTGAAAAAAATTTCGCATAGTAGGAGGGCTTTCATACCCTGGACGTTGGTCCAACCTGGGCTAAATAACATGACTAAGCATGCGTGCTGTGCACTGAACACATGCTGAAGTCCCATGGCATAAATCTTGCACATGCAAAAAAGCTCATATGGGCGCAGATATGATCCATCTAACAGCTGGCTACTTACCCGTAAACACCGGATCAGTAGCATGTTTACTTTTCAAAATATTTACAATTAAAGGCTAGTTTAATCAAAAGACGAAAGCCGCCGCAAAAGTTTACGAAACGAGCCACCGCAGATTTCTCTTGTAGACCTCATGAGGGCACCCTTTATTGTATACTGGCCTGAATAATACCAACAGAGGGGGTGCTTTGAAAGACGTGTTCTTTGGTTTCTGATTCATTTATCACGAGTCGGTGGCAGAGGCGTGAATCATCACGTTCGTAATATTTTGTGTTCTGTTCTTGTTTAAGAATAATTTGAACCTGAGTTTCAGCTGTCAAATTGATCTGTACATTAGGTAATTGCCTCCTTTCTTTGTAATTTTGGTTTTGTACATCAGTGTTCAACTATTTAAAGCTTGGAATCATTTTGATGTCATCTTACGAATGCACATAGCACTGCATAGGGCCATGACACATTATGACAAGTCATACCACATTCATGACATTGACAATGGTCAAACCGATAGTGACAGGTCCCAGAAATAATGCCATGGCGGAACGGGCCTGGGATCTAGGCAGCAAAGTATCAAACGTACGTCACTGTTAAGGTCTACTATGCCTACTCATCATGTACGCCTAGGTCCAAAGATCGAGTTAGCACTAGCCATGGTTTTTGACTTTGATGAAAGATTAACTTGCATAAACATGCATGAGAACAGACAAAAATGTCTATGTTTTCATGTCCATGGATTGTATAGCCTCACTCACTGGCTTTCACTTTTAGGACAACGTTACTGACTTAAACAGGCATAAGAACTTCCTCATCGTGGACATCGCTAGTAGAATTATCATTGTTGATGTACCCAAACAAAATGTGCATGGTGCAGCCCCAACATGGTACACTTTGAAATTCTGCTTTGACCTAAAATTTCTGCTTTTGTTTTCAAAATGCACAGTCACAGTGAACTCTTTCAAAATGTAGGCTAACCCCCCCCAACAATAAAAATATTCAATTCATTGTCATTCAGACTTGTAAGTTGTAGTCGGTTAAGTATGAGTATACTATGAGTGGAGGTAATTATGATATATCAGATATTATCAACTTTGAAGTAGTGCATTAGTGTTAATGTGGGATTTTCTGAGATTTCTTCAAGCGTGCCAGGTTTGGGAACACCCCGGCCAATATGTGCCCAATTTCTGGATACCACCGTTTTTGAATTTTGGACTAAATTTCACGACGCTGGAATCGTTCCCCAAGGCTATAATACCAGCATTAAATTAATGGATTTGAAGTTTTTCAGCAAAGAGATTTGGCAATACTGATGAAAGCCGAGGGAAATTTCAAAGTGTGCCACTCAGGAAACTCCACGATAATGCCAGACAGGCATACCATCTCGCTCAGTGGTCCCAGCGCTGATTCACTCCATCCTGAGGCACATTCTGGTGCCAGTGAACCAATGAAGGATTGCTCATCGAGATCTGGATCTATGCGAAAACGAAACAAACAGGCCCCAAATACAGCCAGTTTCTTGCTTCTTAAACACTGTTGTGACTTAAGACAAATATTATTACTGTGTTCAACAAGTCCTAGGCATCATCAGTTCCTCTCAAAAAGCACTGTTTCCGAGTGACTTCCATGAGAATTGCTCATTCACTGACTACACTGAGAGTTTATTATTTATTACCAAAGTTTGAAGCGACTCTAGGATTGTATTTACAGTTTAGAGAGTCTAAACTTCACATCAGAATTGGTCTTTCTGGCCACATGCCCAGATGTACTTCATAACTAACCAATTATAATTACTGTGGCTAGGTCAGTAAAGAATAGAGCTCGAGTCTCGAGATGGCAAGGGTCGAGCAGGTCGTATATTCCATCTTGGAATTCCTGGAGGATCAGATCAAGGGCGACACACTCGGAGAAGAAGCGGCCGAAAGCATCGAAGGTAAAACAAAAAGAAAGTTGACTTCATATTTACCACGCTTATCCTGTATGGGGACATTACCCAATTTCAGTTTGCCCTAATTCCAAAATAAATATACCAGGTTTCAAATGGGGTTTTTGACAAGAACAGTAAGCCTAACGATTAATTTTTTGAGCACTTATCTAAGACTGCACATTTTTCATGTCTAATTCAGTTCACAGTTTTTTGTGACAGTAAATCATATTATATAGACATTATACCATGGGCCACATTGGTATCGTCAATGACGCCAATCCCTTGTAACAGAAGTAATGTATTTTTATCGCGTGAATTTGTTTTGTAATCTTAACAACGCTCTTTCCTCAACGTTTAGTACCTGTATGGTTCTTCACGCACCCCGAGGGGGTTACATTGGGTAAAAGTTCGCAACACTACCTATCCTAAAGTATACTAAAAAAGTGTTCTTTATATTGTAACCGATTTTGTCTGAGACTTTCCAATTTTTCTTTTTCAACCCCAAGTTGCAGCGCAGTGTTTGGAGACCGCTTATGGCATCAACACAAGGGACGATGAAGCTCTCAGACCAGATCGTTCACTGCTGCAGATCTTCAGCACGGTGTATGGAACGCAGGTACGTAGATTTCAGGGCTTAGTGTATCATTGTTGACTTTGGTTCAAGACGGAAGGAGTTTAGAGTACAAGCTCGCAACATTTGTCGGTGAAGGATATCACTCATTTGGGTGCTTACGGAACTTTCTGCTCAAGTCACTCAAGATACAAGTCTGCGTCAGTATTCAGAAGGCATGATCCTGTGTCCCCAATTTCCTGTGACTTTCCTCCACGAGAAAAACAGTGTTAGCCTCAACTCTGTCTGTGCTGATCTGTTTAAGATTATCCAAGATCTTGCCAATTTCCAACAGTTTGCAGTAACCCTACAGCCCATTCTAATGTGCACTGTGTAACCAAATCAAGCCTCTTCATTTGTAATAAAACTGGCAGAAATTTGAGACTTCACAGAACACTCTCATATTTTCATTAAAGCATTGTTTTGTTTGTTTGTTTGTTTGTTTGTTTGTTTGTTTGTTTGTTTGTTTGTTTGTTGGGTTTTTTTTAGGATGCTGGGGGTAGAACTGACCCATATATGGAACCGGATACCTCTCGTCCAGCTGCACCGGACGTGTGTTCAGCCACCCCGACAACCGGGGCTCAGCCTACAGCAGAGGACAAACGGAAGGCCGAAGACTTCAAAAATCAGGGTACGTGCTGGTTCGAAACTTGAATTCCCTTCTGGCTGTGCTTAGTAGGTTGTGTCCTCAGGCAGGACACTTTACGGCGATGGCTTTCCTCATTTCAGATTGATAAAAACCAATTTCCGGTTAATGTTCATAAACCTCTCCAGATGGAAGTTTCTAAGCATGGTGCACATTTATTCTGATCAGAAAAACGTTGTTGTGTTCATATTCAAGCTGTTCTCATGCCCAAGCAACTTTTTCTCTGACAAGATGATTTCTTAATCTCTTACTGCCCGTATTTTTCCATTACGAATTGACAGTGTTCTATTCGAGTCCGTCATGAGTCCCTGCAAGTCCTTGCAAGTCCATCACAAGTCATTCAGTCTTCAGCCACTTCACAAGCCATTTAAATGAGCTGTAACAAAAGCATTCTTTTATCATCGTTCACCCTTTTACTTATGACTGGCCTCATGAAGGGACTTGCGAAAGGACTTGTGATGGACTTGAATACAACACTGTGAATTGAAAGGCATTGTACAAAGTCTTATAAAGATTGAAATTGCCTGATTTTTTTTGACAATTACTTGCCTACCCTGCTCCACTTTGACCACATCTTATACTTTACTTTTTGGCTATTTCACCTAGATTTCATGTTCATTCTTCTGTGGCCTGCCACAAAATTACTACAATATGCTGATGAAAATTTGAATTTCTTAACGTCCCACACAGGCAATGAGCTGATGAAACGGGAGAGGTACAGCGAAGCCGTCGAGTGCTACACCAAGTCGGTCAGCCTGGACGCCACCAACGCCGTCTACTACAGCAACAGAGCTGCTGCCTACAGCAAGCTAGACAACCACAAGAGGGCGCTGGAGGACTGCGATAGGGCCATCAAGATCGACCCCAATTACAGCAAAGCCTACGGCCGAATGGGGTGAGGTTAAAGTTCGTCCGAGTCGTCAGTCTTTAGCTGGCAACATGCAATTCAGAATATTTTCATTCTCCCTGGGTACGGTGCAAGTCCATTGGAAGTCACTTTCTAGCTGAATCTGGGTCACATTAACAATCCTGGGTGCAGACAGGCAGATGATGGCAGAGGTGGTAGCACGTCAAGTCACAAGTCAAATTTTGCAAGTCTAAGCCAAGTCATAAGTCATTTGGTCCAGTCACAAGTCAAGTCAAGTCATTTGATGTCAAGTCACAAGTCAATTTGGTCCAAACACAAGCAAGTCATAAGTCTTTTGTCCAAGTACACGTCAAGCCACATGATGTACGATTTCAAGCCATAACCAAGTGATTCCGATGTGGCCTTGGGCAGACAAGACTGAAGTAGAAGTCAAGAGCTGAACGAAGTCTTACGCTGATTACTTTAAGAATGTTAGGCGTAAGTTGGTCAGGCTAAGTTAAAACTTTAATGGGTTCGATTGAGCAGTTTTCTGACTTGGCATTAGTAACAAGTCATGTTTTGCAAGTCTAAATCAAGTCACAGGTCAAAAACTGATAATTACGAGTCAAGTCACAAGTCACAAAAATAGCGACTGGAGTCCAACTTAAGTCCAAGTCAAGTGATTTGAGTCTACAAGTTTGGATGACAGTAAAGTGCCTTGCCCAAGGACACATAATATGACCGGCAGCTATGTTCAAGTCCTTGACCCTGTGTGACTCACAAGCTATAAACCCTAACCGCAAAGTTACACTCCGGTGATCAAATGGCCAAAAGGATGCTGTTATCTCAAAGCTGGGTCTCCCACTTTTTCTACTTGACTGAAGGCTTGCATTCACACATCTGAATGACCTACGCCGGGCGAAAGACGCCTACGCCAAGGCAGTGGAGCTCGAGCCAGACAATGACAGCTACCAGACGAACCTCCGCATCGCCGAGAAGAAACTCAAAGATGCCAACCTGGGGGTGAGACACACAAAAACTCAACCTTTATCCCAGCTCACCTGGAGCCAATGTCATGGACCACTTAAGGTCTTCACAAAAGCTAGTCATTGGCCAAAAATTACAGTTTACAAATTCCTCATGACAGGTTCTTGGCCAATTTGTGCTTGGCGTGTACATTTCTCAGGCAACATGTTCTGATCTATATTCTGGGTTAAGGCTTTACATTTTTTCTATCCTGCCAATCACATTTAAGCGAATATACTGAAACCAGGCAGTAACTCATTGCAATGTGGCTTGCCTATGGACACCAGAATGACGGTCCCATTCCTTGGTCAAAGATCTGGAATTCCTTCCAAATTTCTATGCGCACACCTGAACACAAAAAGCAATCCAAAATAAACACCAAGAACTTTCATGAAAACCACAACAGATGGAGAATGCATCACCTGTATGAGCTTTCGGTTTTCATTTCGTCATCGTTTTTGTGACGTAGGGAGGTGGCGCACCCAACTTGGGCCCAGGTCTGGGCGGTATGGACCTCGGATCATTCCTCAACAACCCAGCACTCATGAATGCGGTAAGCCAAATGCCAACCTCTTGAACGGTTGATGAGACCGCGTACTTCTTGTCGAGTCCATTCTGTGCATATTGGAAATGCAGCCCTGTCAAGAAAAGTAAAAGTAAAAATAACTAAAGATGGATTTCCAAGCATTTGCCAAGATTAAAAAAATATTATCACTATAAATCTTACCATTTTACCTGAATTTGCCACGAAGGGGCTTCTATTAGTTCCTGCCACGCACATTGCAACCCGTGTAGGTTGTAAACTAAGCCTTTTTCAACGGAGCAAACTGGCTCAATAACTTTCGTATTGTTGAAATAACATACAACGAATGAAGAAATCTTTTTAATGTGGCCTCAGATAGCTGCTACATGATTTGAGACACAAACTCGTGATGGATCAATATTTTCCTCGATACAGAAAACAACACACACAGCCAAAAGGGAAAATCTTCATTTTGTTTGGCTCTTTCTAAGTATACTGTTACACAGAGTGCTACAGAAACTTTTACATGGTTACATTTGCTGTTGTTTGTCCATAAATCAAGACTTCATTTGTCTGTTTTTTTCCAGGCATCAACGTTATTACAGAATCCCCAGATGCAAAACATGTAAGTTGGGCCTATCCATCTATCAAAAAATTTACCGATGTTCAATCCCCCTTCCTGAAGGTTTGGTTTACAGAGCAAGTGACTGCAGGTATCCACATTATTGTGCACATTTTACAGAAAGAAACAAAACAAAAAAGGACTAAATTTAGTCCTTGAAAGTCCATCTTCTGCTGGGAAACAGTCTCGTAACAGACAATTGCTTGTTAAGCAGTCCAACTGTGTCCACCTGCCCATGTGTCTTCGTCTGCTTAGACATGGGCAAAAGCATGCAGTGCAGAGATTTGTGCACATTCAGTTGTAAACTGAGGAAGAACACTGGTTGCATTCACCAGTAGTGCGTGACTGTATAGGTTGGAACCAGCGGTCAGGGTGTCAGAGCGAGTTTGTTAGAGTCCATATCATGCAGCTGTGGCTGCAGATAACAAATGTCTGTGGGAAATGCACTAAGCCACTAATATGCGGCTTCCATGGGCGCGTGTGTTAAATCTAGCCGTAGTCAATTAAACCGGACGTGGCCTGTATCCCCGGTCAGTCTCATAGTCGAGACCATCACAAGACCTTTTCTCAAGACCAGACATAAGACCGCGCCGGAGACGAGTCACAAATGGCACGCTGAACAATGACCAAAGGACTGGCTTGGTCGCAGCTCGTTCTGAGAGCCTGTGATGTAAATTTAAACTGGAGGGCTCGTGTTGGTCTTGTGTCTCAAGAGGTCTTGACCACAACACTGCTGGCAGCCCCATTGCCAGCTTTGGGCATTAAGGGGGTACAGAGGGGCCAAATCACAAGAACAAAATATTTTTCATCCTTGTGCTGTTTACCGATGAGGGGGCCAGCTTCTCCCCGGAGGGTGGGGGGGGCCTTGGGTCCCCTGGTGATGGGCCCGACTGCTAGACTTACAGGACAGGCAAAACCATTAACCCAGCTTACTGCCTCGAATGATGCACTTACCTTGCTGACCCTGCCGCGTAGAGTTTGATGATTTGTGGCTTTGTCGTCGGCAGGATGAGCTCCCTGATGGGGCAAGCCATGCAGCCGGAAGGCAACCAAAACCAAGACCAGCAAGCCAGCATGGCAAACCTCCTACAAGTGTGAGTACGAGTCCAACAAGGGAAGTCAGGGGGGAAAAAAAGCCAACGTGAATTCAATGACACATCCTTTGCCCAACGGTACCTCCTTACCCGTAACACGTTGACTGTCGCACATAATCTCACAGGGCGTTCCCATGTGCCAAGCGTTGTACCCATGGGCCCATATTTAATGGGTACCTTTCAGGTGTCTATTTGAACATGAGCATTACATGGATGTATGTCCACACTGCCAGCAGCGAATTTGTCGTGTTCTCGGTGATGCCAGTGTATTCAATTTACATTACATTAGCCTTTCATTCTTACGAGTGTACTCGTCGTGGCAGAATCCAGTACAACTGTTACTGTGAGCATACTTACAGTTGGCAGTCAACGTGTTAAACTTTCAAGGGGCTCGTATCAAGTCTTGGTGGCTAGGCAGTAGCTTCTTGAAACCTGACGACTCCTGGTAAACCTCCTGGTTGACATTTGAGCATCAGGGAAGGTTAATGACAGTGGAAAAATCTAGGTGTGTCCTGGGACCATAGACACTGTGCATTGGCTCAAAATTGGAGTTTCCGTGCATTGCTCAACAAATGGCCAAATTCACAGATTTTGATTGTGCTTATTAAATTGGCAGCCCAATTTCACGGTGCTGCTAAGCGCACAATCTTACGCTAACAGAGTCTCCGCATATTTCATGGCGACCATTAGCAGTAAGCTCAACAGAAGGCTCGCTTACCTCCGAGGAAAAATTTGCTTACCTCGGAGGAAAAAATTTGCTTACCTCAGTGACGCAACAGTGGGAATGTACAAATGTGAGCAGCTGTTACCACAACCATGCAATGAAGTAGCGCCGTGAAATAGTGCCGTTAGATAGTTTCCTGCTACACTATGCACAACTTTTCTGCTGCGAAGCAGTGCTATGGCATTGGGCCTAGAAATCAGTCCAAGGCAGGTTTTCCTTCTTTGGCCAGTTATGGTGCAATGAAAAATTTATTGGTAGTTTATAGACTTTAAAACGAACAATTCATCTCAGAACCACAAAACTCAGAAAAGAGATTAACTTCCAAGGTGTTACTGCAGTTCTTTCGTTTTTCAAAGAATCTTTTTTCTAGGGTTGGTATTTCTGACTTAAGAAGGTGCCCATTCTAAGAAACTGAGTGTCACATTAACCTAGGCCCCTGGGCTCTGTGAAAAAAAACAACCAAGTTTTGAAAATTGGAGGATTGTGGACCGTGTTCGGTTAATGAACATTTTGGGGTGCTGTTCTCTTTCCAGCGGGCAGCAAATAGCCAGCCAGATCCAGCAGCAGAACCCAGACCTTGTCCAGCAGATCCAAGGGATGCGCAACCGACAAAACCAGCCAGGGGGCGGAGGCGGGGCCGGCCCACAATCAGAAGGCAGTCCAGAGCCGCCCACAAGTTAATAATTTTTCTGTAATCATTTCCTACGTTTAGAATCGGGCGTCACGTGACGACAATAAAGTGTGAATTTATTTTGAATGAGATGAAAACAAACGTTCCACTCAGCCAAACTATGTTTGCTTAATTGGCTTTAGTCTGCTAGGCTCTTTCAGGAGAACTTTCTCCACATCCATAGCAGCAGGACAGAGGTAAGAGACAAATGTGAACAGCTTACAGGCAAATTGTTTCCGTTTTTTTAAAAATGCAACTCGAAACGAATCTTCATTTTCCTACATGAATATCTTGTACAAAACAGCCGAGAAAGAAACAACTTAAGGCCCCTACACCTGCTTGGCAACGTTCTGCCTTTGTAGCGTGGCTGTGGCACAGTGGAAGAACAGCAAATGGTGCCCCTTGCCTCTGGAAAGAAAATTCTGTTTAGACAAGTACATGTACACCAAACACGATAAATTCCCCTGGCCTGCGCATCCACCATCGTGTCCATGCCTTTAAAATCAGTGTTGCCGTCGAGACCATCGCGTGACCAAGCCCAAGTAACAGGTTGAACAATGATAAAGGAATGTTTTTCTTGCAGTTCATTTTTTGAATAGCTTCTGACTTGCATTCAGACTGGCAGTCGTGTGGTCTTGTGAAGGACGTAAGTGGTCTCGACTACAGCACTGCTTAAATGCGCTCAGCGTTTAGCTCTGTCACCCCTTTTGGAGTTGGGAGGAATTTCTTTTAAGCGGCATGGCGACTTTGGCCACAGCAGCGTGTACTGGGGCAGGTCAGAGAGCTTTCTGTCTGCTTAACTCTATTGATAACTACTCAGATTTAGCATTTCACCACTTGGATTTAGTCTTAGTTTGCTATCCCAGCCTACATTTTGGCCGGAAACTTGCGAGAGATTTTCTGGCTCTGATAACCTTAAGCCGTGTTCTCACAGCAATGGACCCTCTACTCTGGAAGAGTTGCCTGCGTACAAGCCAGACTACTTGGTACGCTTGTGAAACACAAAATCTGCAGAGAATTGTCTGCTTTGCACGGCCCAGTGATAGGCCTTTTTCTGCTCTCAGAAAATTGTTTACACGGCCTGAACCCAACCGCACTACCCCATAGCAGGATGATGTCGAGGACTCTCTCGTAGAGAAGGAAGATTTGGTCATTGCATTTGACAGAATCATGTTACTTGCCACTTGCAGTTCAAGAGGTTACTTTCTTGTGTCACGTTAGAAAATATATCTGAGCCTTGTGTTACGTAAGAAAAATGTCTGAGCAACCAATATTTTAGCTGATGTCTTTTTGTTGCAAGCTTCATGTTGTGAAAAAAAAAAAGGTTGGTTTGAATCAGTCACTGTGACAAGTCTTTCTGCTCAAAAACTTCAGCCACAGGATTTGTATAACTGATCATTAGATTGTTGTAACTCTTGGTTTTGTATTCACGTTACATATTTTTCCTTTCTTGTCCAGAAAAAATACCAATGAAACGCATTGCTCTAAAAAAGTTTGCCGTAAATTGGGATGTTGAATTTGATTTTTAATTCCAAATCAGTTTTTCAGTGAACATTAAGATTCTGACATTATTTGGAAAGACTCTGCCCTTCTGTGACATGGTGGCAATTTGAAATCTAATCTCTCACTAAGTTGGTAGATACTGGAAAAAAGCTTAGTGTAAAAAAACTTCTGAAAGGCCGCTATTTTGGTACGTAGGCAAAATCTGTGAATTGCTTTGGAACATGCCAACATTGAAACATGCTACACGTGTAAATTTGTTGACCTTATGTTAGCCTTGTCCAAAGGCGGTCTGGACGCTTTTTTGTCGAGGGGAGATTATCGAGCCTCACGGCAAACAAGCCACCGTGTACTATCACGGCACACTAACCCCCGTACAAGTAGTACTACCGTAAACCCACAGAGCAGGCTATGCCCACAGACACAACGTACACGTACAGTACAGCATACATGTACATGTACATAGTGTAATGCATTCATGTACGTCATGCATGGCCCGTTGAGTTGAAAGACCGCCATGTTAGGTCTCAGTCCGTCACTTCCAGGATTGATGTCTTTATTTTTTCATCCAGTTTTGCAGTGCACGCACCGTATACACACACTAGGCCAGATTTACCCAATGCCTCAGTCAAGATTAACCTTACACGAGCGTTTTGTATACTACTTGATACATTCTTTTGTCATAATATCAGTTTTATTTTAATTTGTTGGTGTAAAGTTTAATGAAAACTCAATAAAATACTGAGAATTCGAATACTGAAGAAGTAGTGCCCACTTTGGTCCATCAAGTTAATGGTAAGGTGTACCTTGTGATGAGGGATCTCTGTTGTCATTTTGGCTTTCGTGGGATTTGGAAATCTGTTAATATTAGCCCCGAGCTGGACCAAGAGAGGGCGCAGTTTTCCTAGCAACGGACGCTCCTTTGGTCAGAAGTGCATTTTGCTGGTTCACAAACAACTATGTACCCATTACGGTCGCATCACTGCCAACAAAATGAGCATCCCTGACCAGCGTTGGCGGTGCTTCTGTCCGAGTTGGACTGTAACATTAATTTTGAGGAGGGTGTGGAAAACAAAGTTCTTGGCTGTGGTTCATTCAAATCTCTTGTCACCTGTTTGCATCTCCTGTTTCATTTTCACCCGTCCAAAATATTGTACTTCCATTTTTTTCCTTTCAGCTAAGAAACACTCAAGTCTGAACCCAAATCCTTTCTGTCAGTTGAAAGGACAATGGACAGTGACACTCGACTGCCAAGAAAGACGGTTATTTGTACTAGTAAAATAAATTACATTGTCTCTTTGGAAAAAACGCCTAGCAGAGCATCATCAATGCACATGCAAATGGCAAGAAATTCCTACATGTATTGATAGATTTATTTTTTATGCAGGGAGTCTGCAATATATCAGTAAGTCTTTTTCGAGTTTAGTTTGAATAAAATCTGGTACACTGAGTTCTTTAAATGCTCATGAACATAATTTGAATTCTCCAGACTAAAGACACTGTGGCTATACCTCATGATTTGGGGCAAGCTTTTGCTTAGTTACATAAGAGATGCCTTGCCTAAATACACTGTTTTCAATGGATAAGAAAGGCACTAAGGAACCAGTCCATTCCAGAGATGGTGGTCGCTATGCAAAAGCTAGCCCCGAATCACGAGGTATAGCAAAAATGTCTTTAGTCTGGGGAATTCAAATGGTTATGTTCAAGTGCAATCAGATAACTAAGTGTACCAGACAAAAGGCTTAGTGATCAAGCATAATACAATTGTACATACATACAGCAGATTACCATACAGAAGGATTGGTTCGGTATTCCATTTGGGTAGACGGAAAAGGAGAACATGTACGATGACGCGAATCATATGCACATTATGCTCAGGACGCTTCAAATACGTACTCTACACTCTCTGAGCATGATATGCACATGATGCGTGCTCTAGGTGTCCTTTTCCATCTACCTTCCATTTGCCTATTCCCACAGACAAATCTTAAAAAACAAAAATGAGTCTTTAAGGCCATAGTTTTGATGATTCCATTCAAGTTTGCCTGAGAAATAGCTATTTGAGTTCTTTGTTCCGATGTACCATTCATTTTGCGTCCTGATGAGAAAAAGACGCCGAAAAATGTTGCGGGTTCAAACTGATTTGCACGGTGAAAGATTCACTTGAAGACCTTTCGCTCAAACAGTTGTTCTAGGGGGGTTTGTGACTAACGTTGTCAGTTGGAAGATGTGAGATGCTATCGTAGGCCGTGTCAAAATCATTGCATGCACGTAACAGTGTAGTTGTTGAGACCACTTTAGACGTTCACAAGACCTCCAGTCTGAAGTCCAGTCACAAGCTATTCAAATGAACAACAACAAAAGCATTCCTTTCTCATTGTTCACCCTGTTACGTGTGACTGGTCTGGTGCATGGTCTTGTGTCTGGTCTGGCGACGGTCTCAACTACAACACTGGTTACTCTGAAAGTCTTATACGAAGATTTGAACGACTGGCACTGAGAAGCCGAGTGTTGACGACTGTCTGCCAACAAAAACTCAGGCTGACCAGGTGTACAAACGCATGCCGGATTGCTGAAACAGGCTCCACAAGTATACAAGGTTTCTGAACAATTCCAATCTCTCATCTTCCAGAGTAATTGGTGTCTGAGGTTTTACGTCGGAACCATGTAGGGTAGTGAGGTTCCCCCCCCCCCGAGTTCCAAGCAGGTTCAGTCGTAGACATTAGCCGATGGCGAAGTACTGGAGAAAAGCTTCTTCATGCACCGACTAATTGCTCCGAGTAGACAAATATCTGTGCCACGTCGTCGTGCTCATACGTTCTCTTCAGGTAAGTGTCCGTCAGTCGCAAGCCAGACACACTCTGCCAAAAACACAAGTGCAAACACCCGATAATAGCTGGCATATTGATACAGGGTCACTGGCCCATATAAATGTATTCACTAGCAAAGAGTGCAGTAGTTCACACCTTTCCACCCTGAGAGCATGGGACTGATGGAGACACTTTCCGTCAAGACGACTCATGTTTTATACCTTCTCCTAAACAGCCATTGTTCAGAAAAGCTATCATGGGCCAATTGTTTCAGACACTTGGCACAGTGTTCACGCCATTAGTAGAAGGGGCTTCTAAACTCTACAATACAGAATCTTATGCAAGGATTGGTCTGTTGGCAAAGGGATTGCATAATGATGTACGAATTTATTATTTACCCCTTCTCAGCGCGAATTTCTCTCCGAAAGCCGACTCCAAGAATTCCAGCCTCGCTTGGCCACGAAGGCCACCTGCCAAACCATAAATTCTCGGTAGCACGTTTTGAATTACACAGTGAAAAGGCTGATTGTTTGGTGGCATGCGGCTCTACTCACGCTTCCACATTCCCGTTGCC